AACATTTTTGTTCTCATGATTGTATACCATCTTGAAATTATTCCGACAAAAAATATTTTCGTTTGCTCTTTCCAAGTCATTCGAGTGGTGTCAACCCACTTGATGACCTCTTTCGATCGTCCTACGTATCCTAAAGGTATGATGGGTGGTTGTGGACGGCCGAATCGTTATTTTTATCCAGAACGATATAATTATCGTTTTATACGAAAAGAAACGATATCTACGTCGTTATACTTGTAATTTGAATTGGAACGATTTCAAACTCGTCAAATTTGTACTAAAACGATATGAATGTCGTTACTTTATTTGTGATTTTGATACATAACGATATCAATATCGTTTCAATACAATTTTGACAACGTTGATATCGTTTTAGTTTAAATCATAACTAAAACTACACGCATATCATTTCAGTTAAAATAAAACGATACTTATATCATTTTTGCTAAAAATAACGATTCGACTGTCCATGACCATCAGTCGTGCATCTGGTATATGTAGTATGATAAAAATAGATAATCAAATGGGTTCGATCTCCCTCAAAAGAAACTATGAAAACATTTTTGTTCTAATAATTGTATACCACCTTCGAACTATTCAAACAAAAAGTATTTTCGTTCACTCTTTTTAAGTCATTCGAGCTCTATCAATCCATTTAATGATATATTTCGATCGTTCTGCGTATGCTGAAGGCATAATAGGTGATTGTAAACGGTTGAATCTTTATATTTAGTTAGAATGATATAAATATTGTTTTATATGAAAATAAATGATATCTATGTTATTATCATTGTGATTTGAATTGGAATGATTCAAACTCATTAAATTTGTACTATGACGATTTGAATGTCGTTGTATTATTTTGTGGGTTTGATACATAACGATACTATTATCGTTTCAGTACAATTTTGATAACATTGATATCGCTTTAATTTAAATTTTAACTAAAACGATAATTATAAAAACAACGATTCGATCGTCCACGATCAATTATATGTAAATTTCAATTACATTTAATATCGTAGTTAAAACGTTCTAGTGTAATCACTTCTGAAACGATAGGTATGACATTATAGTTACGATTGAATAGGAACGATATCATTGTCGTCGAAAATTGTATTGAAACGACATAATCGTTGTTTACTTATTCCATAACGTGCGCTTAAACCTATTAAACAGTGAAGTAATGTGTATTTGATATCGGAATGACATATACATTGTTTTTTGTACTTCAGGAACGAGTTCAATGTCGTTATACAAATCAGTTAAGCAGAGTGTATTTGATGCTGAAACGATATCGAAGTCGTTTTATATTTCAGGAACGATTTCAATGTCTTATGCAAATCAGTGAAACAGTGTCAGCAGCTCATTTCCATTCCACATTTTTATTAAGTTGATAAGTTATATTTTACGATTTCTTCAAACTGCAATATTTTTGTGCTGGCTTACCTGAATCGACTTTTTCTCGAGTCGAATAGTTCTTATTAATTACAAGCTTTAAAATGAGTACAAATCGATATACTGCATCGCTTTTTATTAAAATTTAATTATTGGACTTTAAATAAGATATAAATTTCAAAAATATTTTTTTGTCCATTTTTTTCCAAAATATAACGATAAATTTATTTTAAAAAATTTCGTGTGTTATAATATGTGTCTAATGAATAAATGACTTAATAATTATTTTCGACTAGTTGCTGAGTTGTGGACAATGTTAAAACTTTGGTTGCATTGGAGATCAATTACAAAAAAGAGATGACCTGAAACTTAAAAAGAAGAGTTCAAATTCTAAAGAGAAGATGATTTTGAAGAGGAAGATTTTTTGAATTTAAAGGAAGAGAATGTTGTGTGTGTTAGAATATGAATGCATAGTTATTAGAGCCTACCCGATGATCAACTAAAAAAAACCACCGGGTCAATGGTTCAATCGGTGGGTTATTGTTAAATTTTAATTTTAATTAAATTTTATTTTTGAAGTCAGAATAAAACAATTTTTTGAAATGTAAGATATATATTTTGCTCATAGAAAATAAAGGACCATCATTTGCCATAATGGTTGTGGAGTTAAAATATTTTCTTACATTCCAAGGTTCAAGTCATGGCTCCAACAAATTTAGAAAATAACTCCAATTTCTTCTTAATTTTTGTTTTACAAGTTAAGGGTAAAGAAGTCTTTTGACACTTTTAAATAATTAAAACTCCTTTTATTTTTATAAGTTTGGTCTAAGGCCAATTAAACAAAATATACATTAAAGTGACCTTCCCAACTCATTTCCCCAAAAAAGAACAACATGAACAACCAATTGTTGATTATTCCATGATGCAAAACAATTTTTAATAATTACAAATTGGAAATTTTAGAATTATTCAGTCACAAAAATAGAAAAAAAAATATTGTTTTTATGAAGGATACTGTTCTTAACATGAAGCTCCGATACCAAGTTTTGTATTTAACAATAACCATGCCCAGAAGCAAAAATCACAATTTTTAATTAATAGTCTAAGATTCATACTTACGAAAGACATCTTGAATGCAAATATTAACGTTAGATCTTCCTCTCTTTGCTCCTCACAAAATATTAGTTGTCAATGGGGCGAGCCAATAAAAACATATGGATAGGAGAGATGGCCTAACATTTGTATAAAAATGTATTGAACCGTCTCATTATCGACTTCAACCCTAATTATGGTTTACACGTTTCTAGCCCACATACTTAAGTTACCACATTATATAAGATATAAGCCGTAAAAGTGCAAAATGGTCCAAGCGATCACTTAACATATTGGGCTTAATCACAGTATCATTATGAGCAATACATCTAGCTCGTAAAATTTGCAATCAAGTAGGAAACCCATATTTTAGAATTATTCTAACAATAAAAACATAGTTGCAACCTAGCAAGAACAACGTTACACAATGAGATAGTAATGCGTAGAATTATGATAAAACGTGAGGGTATTAGATCAAGAAACCCATTTTTAATGCACAAAGCTCATTAGATTGTTAATTGAATGTTTCACCAAAGCACATGATGGACTTCCTTTGCAGGTTCTTGTCTCCCAGCCAAAGTTCAGATTATGATCACCAGATCAATGGCTGGTTTCCATAAGCCAAGGACTATTGCACTTCATCCTGATCAAGAACCAACTTCCTGGACAGATACGCCATCACTTCGAACGCAATGCGGTGCATCAAATTTCTAGAAAACGACATCTTTCCACTTCTTTCCAAATTTCAAGCTATCAATTTGATAATTTCCAAGAAAATTATCAAATTTATCAATAAAGCTCCAACAAATCCCTCAGTATGTTGAATCACATTTCATCTACACTCACTAAAATTTCAACAAAAATTTAATTGAATCACTGGACTTTAATTTATTTCAATTAGGTCACTCAACTTTAATCTAGTCTCAAATTTCACCATTCTGGCGTGTCCCGTCACCTATCGCTCCCTAATTAACATAAATTGTTAAGAATGATTCCATAAATTATGTTACACGTAATTGCTATGTGGCACCTTAAAAAGAAAAATGTAAAACAAGAATTATGGCCATGTCTTTAGATTATGTTCTGGATTTGTGTTACTTAAAATTTTGATAAAAATATAAGTCAAAATTAACAATTAATTTTAATCATACATTTCACAAAATCTACACTTTTATCAACTTTTCAACTATATATTTCATCCATTTTTATCAAAATCTTCAAAAATTTCGAGTTTTAGCTAACACCAAACAAGGGTTTAAAGATTATTATTTTTTATTATTATTTATTTATTTTTTTAATAATATTTCAACATTTTTATGACCTAGTGTAGTAGTGAATTACCATGTCACACAACAATTATGTGAAAAATTAATTGTAGCATGATTCCGAACAAAAGCAACTTTCGTCAATTTGGAGACGATAATCAATACCTCGATGGAGAGGTGAAATTCGGAAATAAAATTCTTAATTGGTTAGAATTCAGTGACCTCAGATGAATTTTACCCCAATTCATTCCCTTCATAAATTTTAATAATCCATCTACCAATCAAAGCAACAATGGCGTCAAATCCCGTTCGAACTCTTTTTCATCCTCTTCTCTCATCTTCATCTCAAATTCTCTCTACAGACACCAGTCCTCTCAAAATATGGCCTCCCAAGTGGGCTATTCGTCACTTTCTACACACTCAGACGATGGCAAATTCAAAGTCAACATGAAGAAATCGTGCTACATACAGTTTAATTATTTGGTTTATTATGAGAAAAAGATTACTGGGAAGACGAGTATCCGGTTGATTTCATATACTTGTAAGGAGTCCTATTAAAATAAAAGAATATAGGCGCGACTGTTATCCATGTCAGAATAAATAAATTTTTCCTAACCTGCTACAGAACCATCGATAAATATGATAAGTAGATACTTTCAAGGGTGATCAAACAACATTTGCTTCTTGCTCGCACAGCAGCATACCAAAGAAAAGAAAAAATTAGAAGCAAGAATCGTGATTTGACTTTCTTGGTTATACAAAGTTAAAGATATTTCGCAGTATGAGAAAGCTTCATACCTTGAGGTGGTTACAAATCTTGCAGATCGAAGTTTTGTTCAACTATCTCATCCGGGAACTTGTACAAAGAAGGATTTCCCGTTGCACAACAGTTGTTCCATACCAATTTAACTGCCCGGAGCTTCAAAGGGCATTCAAGTTCAAGGATTCTTCTTTTGGTTTGAATTGAGATATTACTTGACCGTTGGGCTTATTAACAAGGAACTTGATGTGGATCAGTTCTTGACTGTTCGTTCTTGAAAAGATAAGGCTTTCCAGGCTTTGCCTTGGGACAGCGCTGGTTGTGGTGGCAGTGAGCAGCAATCTTCGAAGAAGATTTTTCAGTTATATATTGAATAACGTTAACCGGAATTCAAGGAATTTCTTTATGATTATAAGATTGTTTATTAGGGAAATAAAACATCATTAGAAACTCAAAAAGACTAAAAAGGATGAAAAATGCATACATGAGAAACTTGGTGCTAAGTAGAATATTACAACATAATCAAAAGTTAAAATCAGTCATTGAAATACCCTGATGGGGATCTTCAGAAGGTATTTACAACCAACAGTAAGAAAATAATAAACCTGTGAGATGTACAAGTAGAATGCTGGCACTAACTGAACCCTCTACCCTTCCACTCCAGATTCCAACATCACCGGGGGGGGGGGGGGGGGGGGAGGAAAAAGAAAAAGAAAAATTCCTTCAAGAATTTAAAGAGACAAAAAGGAAGTAGAAGAAGACACTGCAAATCCTAACAGGTTAGTAATTCTCTCTCCATTGCTTGCCAACATCGAACATCTCAATCCTTATTCCCCATATCAACCCACCCTCAATCGGGGATGGGGGTTCAACCGAAGGACTTCAATGCTGAAAAGTGGAATTCGAAAAAACAAAAGCCAATAGATTCCCCTCTAAGAACAGAAGTTTGCTAAGATAAAACTGCATTTTGCAATAGCCAAACTGTAGGTTGTTAGTCCCACGCACTAGTCACACCAGGACCAGAAGCACCATAGTTATTTCCCATGTTCCCCACACCGTAGTAGTCAGTACCACCTCGACCGTTAGTAATTCTCTCTCCATTGCTTGCCAACATCGAACATCTCAATCCTTATTCCCCATATCAACCCACCCTCAATCGGGGATGGGGGTTCAACCGAAGGACTTCAATGCTGAAAAGTGGAATTCGAAAAAACAAAAGCCAATAGATTCCCCTCTAAGAACAGAAGTTTGCTAAGATAAAACTGCATTTTGCAATAGCCAAACTGTAGGTTGTTAGTCCCACGCACTAGTCACACCAGGACCAGAAGCTCCGCCATAACCACCAGAAGCACCATAGTTATTTCCCATGTTCCCCACACCGTAGTAGTCAGTACCACCTCGACTGAAGGATGAATCCCTTCGGAAATCACGAGCACCAAATCGGCCTCCTCCACGTCGATTTTTCCCATAGGTTGACCTGGCTGCAAATCGGGACAGCCATGCAGGCACCTCTTGGTTTGCTTCTTGCATTAAGTCGGACAATGATCTTGCCAAGGAGGAATTATTCTCGTTAAAAAAGGCAGTTGCCAACCCAGTTTTACCTGCACGGCCAGTGCGTCCTATACGGTGGACATAATCGTCAATGTCGTTAGGAAGATCAAAGTTAACAACATGTGAAACATGAGGGATATCAAGACCACGTGCTGCCACGTCTGTTGCAACCAAAATTGGAGTCATGCCACTTTTAAATGATCGCAAAGCTTGTTCTCTCTCCTACAGCCATGGAAAATTAACAAAAGGAATTAAAGTAATGTTAAATGACTCCAAATGCGTGAGGATGGGGATAATTAAATTTCTTAGGCTGTGGTGACATGCAAGACAGAGAAAAATCTCAAGAATCATTCCTACATTCTATCTCTGTTTACCCGATATTTAGGCTCATACAGGAAAGTAAGAGGGAGAGAACAGACCAGAACTCCAAACCACGTGAGGAAACATAACTGTAATAGTATAATAAACTAACAGAGATTATATAAACATATTGCACAGAAATCTAATAATGTCAGTTCCAAAAGTATTGCATGTAAAACTGCTGCTTTCAGGGGATCCAAAGCTAATTTGTCACCCTTTAGAATCTTTCGAACAGAGACTATACTAAACTGTCGATTTGAAATACAAGACCAGACATAATGCAAATCGATTTTCACGCCAATAAAGTTCTTATCCACTGGATGTCTTAGAATCACCAACAAAAAAAATCCATAACACCTCCAACATGTGGGCAACAACGAACAAACCTTGTAGATTATATAAAAACAAGAATCGGGATGAACATAACAAAATCTAGTGGTGATGCTGATGATGCTATTTCATTTAAACAGGTTAAATAACTTTTAGCATCTTATAACAATGCTCTCAACTTTAAATGGAATAATTTTCTATATCGAGGGCCTCTTGATGAATATTAAAAAATAAAGTGTGAAAATTTTATAAAGGTCCAACAAACTTTTCCTATTTATTCTTTAATTGGCTTGTTCCAATGAATACTTGCGAATCAACATTTTTCTCAATGTTTTTTAGTTGCTTTCCTCCAATAAGCGCATTGAAAAAATAATTAAGATATAATTAAACCTATAACATAAAGTGTGAGTTTGGCTCTCTACATCTGGTGAGCCTAATTCACTCTTTATTTTAAGTTTTAAAAGTAGAATGCTTGTTCGACTTCTTAAAATAAGGATCAACTCTCTATAATAAAGAGCATGAGACTAGTAGAGAGCCTATTGGAGATGCTCTTAGAGTTCAGGTATTTTGGTCTTTCCACTGGTGGCTGGACACTGGTATCATCCATACTACATAGGGTATTAGACGAGATATTTTAATCTGTTTCAAAATTATTCATTAACTCTTAGAATTAAAGTCGGTAAATTCCTACTCCTTTTTCTAGTTGACGAAGTCGTCTTTCAGGTTCATAAATAAAGGTTAAAAAGACTAATAGTCCAAAAACACCAACAGTCACTGGACTTTTAGCAAAACTTCATGCTGGTCACTGAAATTCATTTTGTTTCAAGTCGGTTATTGAAATTAAACAGTAGTTAAAATTTGTCCATTATGTCCATGTCTGTTGATAAACAAAAAAGTTGATGTGGCAGTCTAGTTGGCAGTTTAGCTGTCAAATAATGCAAATTTCATATTTTGTTGTGCGAATTTGTCTCACCCTTGCCAGCCTATTTAACAGTATGCAGATCAGTCATTAAAAGTCTTCTTTCATGCTCTATTCTAGGCCTTAGCCCTTTCCCATCCCTTACCAATTTTCAATCTCGACGCCCATCAGTTTCCAACTCAATGTTAATCTTAGAACAAGCCACAATCGATCGTACAAATTGTTTTCTGCTGCCTAGTAAAGCATTCCAACACATATAACTCATTTTCTAAACCACAGGAACCTTAATAGAAATGAACGAGCATGTTCAGATAGATTCATTTTAATAGAAACCAAAACTTGAAGAGAAAGTAAAGAGCTAGAAGAAAGAGGCAGGAAAGGGATGAGGGAAGGATGATAGTTAACAAGTTTTAATGAAACAGAAGGCCTATATGAAATCAAGTTTTAAACCAATCATATAAGATGTAGGCCCCATCCCACAAGCACAAGAGTTAAACAAACCTGTTGCGTTCTGTCACCGTGAATAGCAGTGGCCGGGAAACCGTTGATACAAAGCCAATGTTCAAGTGAATCAGCTCCCTTCTTCGTCTCCACAAAAACCAGTGTAAGAGCTTGCTGCAAATTGGAAGCATAAAAACAAGAATAATTAAACTAGATGGTAAAGCTAAATGGCACTGAAGTTATTTTTTAAGAAAATGAAGCATTTAAGCATATTATCACTTCACGTGCATCTTTTGATAGCATTTTCTAAGTTCACTCCTGTACCAAGCTGAAAACCTCCATGCAGAAATCTCTCTCTCTCTCTCTCTCTCTCTCTCTCTCTCTCTCTCTATATATATATATATATATATATACACACACACACACACACACACACACACACACAAAATTCCAAGAGCAGTCTTCTCTACAATATTGATTCCTTCCCCAAACCCAAACCCAACTCCTCCCCAATCTCCCGAGCGTTAAATATTATACTTGATATTACTCCTATGAAAGACTTGCTTTATGTTTTAATAACATATATAGAATACCAAAAAGAAAGCCAAATGACTGCAGTACTAAAAATGAAGAGGAGAAGGGGAAAAGGAACATGCCAAGCTTTATATGGAAGCACTCCAACTCAAAACAATCTTACCTTGCCATGGACACCATTTGCCTTCTGTGCATGGAGGAGGTCCATTAAATGACTTCTTTTATCACTCTCGTGAACATATTCAACTCTTTGGACAATCAAATCAGTACTAGAACCAACTCTTCCAACAGCCAGAAAGATGTAAGCGGATAGAAAATCTGCAGCCAGTGTCTGCATGTCAACCAAAAGTTGCAAAAGATCAGAAAAAAGAAATAATTAAAAGAATGAGCACGTATCTTATCTCATTTCTAAATTCAGATTGGGGTAGAAAATCAGAATTCTATGTCTACCTATTTCGACAACTAGAAGCAATATTCAAGAATCAACCCTAACTCTCAGCAACGCGTAAGTGTGCAAGTATCTGACTTAGATCAGAGTACAAAAGAACAGTTTAGTTTCTAGCATTCTGCACCTAATATACTTGTATGCAAAGGAATAGAGCATATTTTAATCAGCTGTAATCCTCAAAAATACTCGAGTTTGTGTGATTGCAAAACGAAACCAAAATGCTGAAGCATAAAGTCTATCAACAACATAAATACGTGAATATTGGCGAGTGGCAAGCAATTACAGGTATTAATTCTCTTGTATATACACTTGGTTCCTAGTATATAAACCCATTCAGTGCCCATATCATTTGTATGCAGAAGAGGAATAGAGCATATTTTAATCAGCTGTAATCCTCAAAAATACTCGAGTTTGTGTGATTGCAAAACGAAACCAAAATGCTGAAGCACAAAGTCTATCAACAACATAAATACGTGAATATTGGCGAGTGGCAAGCAATTACAGGTATTAATTCTCTTGTATATACACTTGGTTCCTAGTATATAAACCCATTCAGTGCCCATATCATTTGTATGCAGAAGAGAAAGTATATTCCAATGAGGCCTACTCATAACCTTGAGCCAATAGATTTAAGAATCTTGGTGTTGACGCCTTTCAAAACAGAAAACAGACCTGTATCTCTTTCGGGAAAGTGGCACTAAACAGCATTGTCTGTCTCATACCAGGAGGAGGCATGTCCATTTGTTGCACAATTTTCCTTATTTGAGGTTCAAAACCCATGTCCAACATTCTATCTGCCTCATCTAGGGCTAGATATCTAATCATTTGCAATGAAACTCTTGCTCTTTCCAACAAATCAACCAAGCGTCCAGGAGTTGCCACAAGTATATCCACGCCTCTCTCAAGTTCTCGAAGCTGTCCAGAAATCATCAACCATAGTGTAAAATAACAAATTAAGCTCAAGTCGAATTTGACAGCAATTAACAAGAAAGGGATACCATAACACTACATACACGTAGCAACTGAGTCAAATACATCAAGCTTACTCGAGAAACTAACTGTGAAATGAAGCAATTCTTCAGGTGGAGGCATAGTTAGCACATGAAATGAAGTGTATTTCAGATCTAACATGGTGTACAAAAATGGACCCTTAAAATATAAATTTTCAGTAATGTTTTGTATAATTTTATTAAAATAAAAAGAAAAAAAATTACAGCATGTAAAGCTCCGTTTCTTAAGATTAGTTAAAGTTGTTGACAAAGCAACACAGAAATACTGGACATAACGAGAGCCGGAAATTGAGATATCACTTAAAAACGTAAAGCCGCTCAAAGATTGAAGTTCAGATTGAACTTGACGAACTTGGGAAATATGCATTACAAAATGCAAGCAGAACACATGAAAAGTGTGCGATAAATGTGGAACCAGGAAACAAATAACAAAAAAGAATAATAAACCACACTTCACATGCAACCGGAGATACAATTCATTTACAAATTTTGAATTTTCCACAAAAAGAAAATATACAGTTCAGTTTCAAGTCAACGATGCAGAAATTAACATGGAAAAACATATAAAAAGAAGAAGAAGAAGAAGAAGAAGAAGAAGAAGAAAAACAAGACCTGTTGATTAATGGGTGCACCACCATAAGCAACAACCACCCTGACACCAGTTTGATATGCAAATTTCTTAGCTTCATCATGAATCTGCATGCCAAGAAGCAAAGTTGAATTTCCAGCACAACATAATTAAGCTAACAAACAAAGGATACATCATATCAGAACTAGTCGAACTTATAAACCCACTTGGCATGAAAGCTCCCTTGTCGGTGAAAGAATGAGAGCCATTGGAAATGCCATGCGTGGCATGCGTGGCAGTCTCTGAGCAAAATGGTTACCCCTCATGATTCCACTAATTATGGGAAAGCAAAAGGCAGCCGTCTTCCCAGAACCAGTCTGAGCACAAGCCATCAGATCTCGGCCAGCGATTGAGATTGGTATTGCATGCCGCTGCACAGGGGTTGGCTTCACATACTTGCATCTCCTAATATTCTGGTTCAGTACTTCACCTAGATCAATATCTGCAAATGTATTCACAGGAGGAGGAACATTTTCCCCACTAGTCTCCACTGGGATATCCTCATAAGCATCAAAATTGATGCCTGTGTTCTCTTGATCACCAAATGCCAGTTCGGTATCATCATCATCATCTCCAAAAGGATTCACCTCCCTTTCCCTACCACTTCTATTATTCCAACCACCACTTCTATTGTTCCAACCACCACCAATGCGGCCACCACCACCTCTAGGACCACCGGAATGACTCCCCCCTGCAGACAGACCACTGTATCCCAAGCAGTCATTACCCAAAGCAGCAGTGGCATAGGAAACGGGAGCTGTTGGTGTGTCTAACGAGGACAGCCTATTTCTAAGATGTGGGGGAACATATGCAGATCGACCTCCACGGGACTGGGTGGATGCTGTCCCTACACCACCAACGGGTGCCGCATTCTCAACTGAATCAGCCCATGATGTTGGCATACTCAAAAAATCAAAATTCAGCCCTTCTCTGCCCAGAAAAAAATAAATACACAAAACCCTCAGTTTTCTATTCAATAATCCTCTTTCAGCACCGAAATTCCAATAAAAATCCCAAAATTTTCGAAACCATCAAAACTTTAGGAAAAAAATCCCAAATTTATATTTATACAGATCCTCGCGTCAAAATCCTGATCAAAACATATAAAAATGTAGAAAAGTAAAACCATTAGCAAACAAATAAATATAAAGGCCAATTTTGATCTACACTTTTCCATACATGCACCTACACAAGTAACACATGTGTGCAAATATAGCAACAAATAATGCAATAATTTCTCGGAATGCGGAATGTAATCATTTTCCAAAACCCATCTCTATATAAATAAATGAACAAGTAACTGGACACAAGTCGGTAACGTTTACTCACGATCTTATAAATCTACCACATACCCGTAAAAATGAAGGCAGATTAACAGATAGGGACATACAAAATAAAATCGAAGAAGGAGAAACCCTAATTTCGAGAAGAACACGCGGTACGCGATCGAAGGAAACGTTGAAAATATCTTTTATTGTTTGGTCTTAAACCCATCTCTATATAAATAAATGAACAAGTAACTGGACACAAGTCGGTAACGTTTACTCACGATCTTATAAATCTACCACATAGCCGTAAAAATGAAGGCAGATTAACAGATAGGGACATACAAAATAAAATCGAAGAAGGAGAAACCCTAATTTCGAGAAGAACACGCGGTACGCGATCGAAGGAAACGTTGAAAATATCTTTTATTGTTTGGTCTTTGTCTCTCTGAAAAAAGTCTAAATCATTATTCTCGGCGTATTTAAAATAGTGTATATCTCCTCCGTATGTTGATCTTGCGTCTCTGCTTAATAAACGATACTGACTTGAGGTCTCCGTACGTCTTACGTATTGCGGCTGGTTGGTTGGGCTTCAATTTGTAAAATGTCTGCCTACCCACATTCTATTCTATTATTAGGTTCCGTTTGTTTTATATTCTTTTTTCATTAAAATAAAAAAGATGATCGTTATTTATCATATCAAGTTATAAAATTTTAATTTTTATCTCTTGTGTGGATTCCATAACGATTATATTTTTCATTTTTATTTTTACAAAAATGGAAAACAAATGCCCCTCGTTCTCCTCAAAAAAATTAAGCCTTTGTGCCCCGTATTTTCAAAAGTTTATTTTCAATATTACATTTTTCAATAAAATAATTTTATATATAAATTGAAAACCTTTGCTTACCTGTTGATCACAAATTTTTCAAAAATTCAATATCGATAATATATTTTTCTCCCAAAATGGGGCTCAAATAAGGGCAAATACAGCTTTATAATTTATATACATATAACGAAAAATTATATGTATATAAACATTGCAGGTGCGACCCTAATGGATGGAAAACATTCAATTTACAGTTAGTTAACCAAAAAATTGAGTTTGACAACAATTTTAATATTTTTTAAAGGACAAAATAGTAACTTCCTATTTATCAAATTAAATAAAAACATTAATTAAATTTAAAGACCGAAAAAAAAATGGAAAAAGGGTTTCTTCTTCCTCTCACCTCTTCTTCAACTTATCCAGCCCCACCCAATGGAAAACATCCAATTTACAGTTAGTTAACCAAAAAATTGAGTTTGACAACATTTTAAATATTTTTTTAAAGAGCAAAATAGTAACTTCTATTTATCAAATTAAATAAAAACATTAATTAAATTTAAAAATTAGAAAAAAAATGGAAAAAGTGTTTCTTCTTCATCCCACCTCTTCTCCAACCTATCTAGCCCCACCTCTACGTCCACCCTAACAAAAAACCTCCACTATCGTGATTGCCAGCACCATCTCTCAATTCGCCTGCCAATCACCCAACACCATGAATCACTGTCTACATATTTCTCAAATCAAATTTTCCTAAATCAATTCTGCAAAATGAATTTTTCAAATTGAATATGATATTCCTCCCTGAGTCAAATCAACCAAGAATCCAATGCCCAAAGATGGCCAATGCACGACCAGTGCACATGTGATCGTGGACTGTGGATTTCAAGGGCCAATGGTGCCGTACAAAGACAATTTTCAAGGATCTCAATCATCAATGGCATGAGAAGCTTTAAAGATTACTGGGAGCACTTCTGAGAAATCTAGTGAAAAAGAGCCTTTGATTTACCATTCGTTGGAGATCTCGAAGTGTTTTCTCTCATATTAAAGGGAAAATTGGGCTTAAAGTGTTTTCTCTCAAATTTGGAGCCAGACTAAAGTAGAGGGGAAGGGGGAAAGATTTAGCCAAGGAGGCTATAGTGGTAGCATCGTTGGCCAATACATGGTAGAGGAAGGTGGTGATTGGGAGGATTTGTATCTCTTTTTGTTCATTGGGGTAGTGGTGTTTATTTCAACGGTGGAGAGGATGGTGGTGGTTGGTTCTCTCCTTGGGAAGAGAGTGGGAGGAAGAAGAAACCCATTTTTCCATTTTTTTTAAAAATTTAATTAATGTTTTTATTTAATTTGATAAATAGAAAGAACTATTTTACCATTTATAAAAATATTAAAAATGTGGGTAATATTTAATTTTTTGGTCAACTAACGATAAATTGAATATTTTCCATCCATTGGGGCCTCATCTGTAACGTTTAAAAAGGTTACGGATGACAGTTGCAATAAATCAAAGGTTTTGAGAAAAGTTTGTTAGTGTTTGAAAGGTTTTGGACCTGTACTGCAATTTTTCCTAAATAATATGTCACCATAAATAGATAATTTGTGACCAGTAAATAATGCGCAACTTGAAATTTGTCAAGTTGTGACAAATAATTTGATAATTTGTGACTAATTAATTAGATATTTCGTGACTATAAAATAAGTGTTATTTGTAAAATTTTTGATTTGTGATCAATGAATAATATGTCACCTATTAATTTGATAAATTTGTGACTGATGAATAAATTGTGACTTATAAATTTTTTGATTTGTAACCGTGAAATAATTTGTGACATATAAAATATTTTATCATGACAAAGAAATAATTTATGACCAATTAATTCAATAATTAAAGACCAAATTGTATAGGATTGTGACTTTAATATATTTAATTATTAAAATATATGTTTAATTAATTATTCTATAAATTAAATTTAAAAAATTTGATTTTTGAGTTTTGAAAGGTGCATGCTTAATCTCTTATATATGAAATTTTTTTTCCTTTTTTTAACCACATTTTCCAAAAATTTATTATTCTAAATCATATTTTCGTAGGGATGTCCAACTAGCCAATTTGCTCGAAAGGGCTTTCGACCTTTGAAAAAGCTTGAGTTGGCTTGGCTCGTGGCTCGTTAGACCTAGCCAAACCCAATTTTTGAGCGACACCTCGTGCAACAAGCCAAAATGGTCCCGACATAGGTCTGTGTGCTACCTACAAAAGGTAGCTACAGCTTCACAAAAAAAAAACTAAGCCGGTTCAATAAGGCTCGAGCCTATTATTTGTCGAGTCGTGCATGAACTACGAGCTTCGGCTCATGAGCCCACTCGTTTACATCCCTACATTTTCCTAAAAAGGGGATCAAAAACTCGCGACTTGAGCGTGGCCTGACTCATTTATGTCCTTATATTTTCTCTAAAAAGAAGGTCTAACAAGAGCGTATGAATGTAACCGCCCTTTAATAATTTGAGGGTGTTTGGTAAGATTAAAATTATACTTTTTAGTAAATTGTGATAGAAGTTTTTGAAATATGTGATTGAAAAGTTGTGAAATTCGTAAAAGATATGATTAATATTGATTATTTGACTTTAATTTAAATTAAAATTAGATTTTAATCCATACCACACACCTTTTATGTGATTATGTCCTATCATTTATTATCGAGTATTTTTGCAATAAAGTTAAAAAGGTAGGGTATTTCAGTCAATTCAATCCACTATTTGGTTTCACCTCCACCACTACCTCTATGATCACACGCCTTCCGAGTTCACTCTTCCTCCACCACTCTCTGAGGCAAAATCGGCATCGTAATAGAACAAAGCCAATAAGCAAAGAACCCCCCAAATTCTAGGGTTTCTTAGAGGGAGAGAGAAAGATCCAATTCTGATGAATGCATCGGTGCCGTCGATTGCTCGTGGGACATCGACGAGCAAATCTCTCAGCTCATTGATTGCAAACCCTTATCCGAACAAGATGCATTCTCATTTTGTTTTGTAATTCCTTAAGTTCTCGAATTTTGTGATCCGATTTGTGTGAATTGAAATTCAAGAATGAAAAGTGTGGAGTTTTAATTTTTTCAGGGCGCTTGGGTTGAATTGATCCGAAGTTCGTTTTGAGATTTTATTTTTTTAACATTTTAAATTTTAGGTATGTCATTGCTCATCTTTATTAAGAGAGAAAGCAACGTTTACAAAGTAAATCGCCTACCATAATTATGTTTTCTCATTCTTTTATCTTATGTAAACCATTGAAACCAACACCAGGAGATGCATTTCCTTTTACTAGGAATCCTGGATTTAAACAGGGCATGAGTCGCATGACTATGCTTTGCTGCGACTATTTTCATTTCCGATTCACACATTATCTTCTTCTGTTTCCTTTTATACGGTTAAGAAGGATGTCTGTTTCAAAGAAAAATGTATTTATCAACAGCTTTGTTCATGTGTAGGTGAGGCTAGTATGTGAGAAGGCCAAGGAGATCCTAATGGAAGAGAGCAATGTGCAGGTGTGCCACTTTTCATCATTTTTCTTATCATTGATGTTGCCAACAGAATGTAACTTTGAGTTACCAGTGTTTCTTTCGATTGAAACTATTTTTTTCTTCCATTTCTCGATGCTATTGCCAATGTAACCTTCTTGTCCTGTGCATCGTTGGAATCTTTTGTTTCTTATGAGCATTGCCATGTAATTAGTGGTTAGGCTTAAGCTTGCTTTTTTTGTGCTGACAGTGAAATTTAAGTCTTTGATCATACTTTTGTGGCAAGCACTTTTATTACTGTAGGAGGCCTTTTACTTAGAAGGACAGGAAAGCCATTAGATTAATTCCTTGTTTTTCTTTTGAACATATGTGCCTTGTGACGATAGTGCAAAACATATTTGTCCCTTCCAGTAAGAAAAGGTTCTTTGCAGCTTCTTCGTTCTTGGTGTGGTAGTTTTGTTTGTGAGTAGCCCATCAACTAAAACTATCAATAGGAAATTACTTTATTTGCAGGAAAATGAGTTGAAGGACTTTTGAAAACTGAAATTACCATAGTTCTTTCTGCTCGTTGTGGTTCTTTGTTGCTTATTTTGTTCAACACTATCCAGTTCTTAGATTCCTTAATGTTAACAAAAAGCTCAACTGATTTTTTTGGTGTGGTAGTTTTGTTTGTGAGTAGCCCATCAACTAAAACTATCAATAGGAAATTACTTTATTTGCAGGAAAATGAGTTGAGGGACTTTTGAAAACTGAAATTACCATAGTTCTTTCTGCTCGTTGTGGTTCTTTGTTGCTTATTTTGTTCAACACTATCCAGTTCTTAGATTCCTTAATGTTAACAAAAAGCTCAACTGATTTTCTGTTTCCTTACTACAGCCTATGAAAAGCCCTATCACCATATGTGGTGATATTCATGGGCAATTCCATGATCTTGCAGAGCTTTTTCGAATTGGTGGAAAGGCATGTGCTTATTTGCCTCTCTCTTGAAAGGATTAAGCCTCTTATGTTACAATTGTGTTTGTCCCAAAAGATCCCATCCCTTATTATCTTAGCTTGAATTAATACATCTATCGTTGTCCTTTTTCATCGATTGACAGTGTCCCGACACAAATTATTTGTTCATGGGAGATTATGTCGATCGTGGATACTATTCAGTTGAAACAGTAACTGTGAGTTACATAATTCTTATCTTGACGATAATCTTGCTTCTGATCAAAGATCTCTAATGTGACAAG